TATCTAACTACTAAAAATAAATAAATAGTCACACAAACATAGTTAGAGATGTTGTACTATACTAACAAATAAATATCACACAAACATAGTTACAGAGATGTTGTACTATCTAACAAATAAATATCACACAAACATAGTTACAGAGATGTCGTACTATCTAACAAATAAATATCACACAAACATATTTACAGATATTGCAGTACTTAACTAACAAATAAACATCACAAAAACATAATTACAGAAACAATAAGATGTTCTCAGATTAATGTTATCTATGCGCTGATTGACATAACCTAATTTAGTTTTTTTAAGTTAACATTTATTTAGCATAATTCTACTTCTGACACTATTTTCCTATGTTAGATAATAAGTTCAATCCTAAACTCATGATCTAAGAACAACAATAGCTCTTGTTACTGTAAATTTAAAAATTTGTTTTTTACATTTTGTGGCTTTTTTGTTTTCACAAAATAAGGGGAGCTTTTATATAGATGTAGGAGCAAGAACTAGGTAGAAATTAATTCTTAATGTTTTATCCATATTAATTATAGAAAACACACTAACAAAACAAGAAATTTGGGCCAAAGAAGTGGAAAGAAACTTACACTTAGAGCTACTTTCAATGAATACAGACACTGCTGAGGAGTTACTATCTATACTATTTAAAAAAAAATTACAGTTTGATATCGTTATTTTTACTGTTATAGCCACAAGACCATTTCTTCTGGCCACATGATTAATTACTTCTGTAATTCTTACAAGACATGTCAAAATTAAAAAATATTTAATTACTAATTATGACATTCAGGTGTGTTATAAAAACATTATTTAATTTGTGAGAACTATATGATCAGATTATAAATCTGTTTACACTATCTGGTTGATTTTAGAGATCCTAGTATGGTAAAACAACCGGAAGTAAAAACAATATTTCATACATCTACATACTGCAGTAAGTACATTTATCATCACATCTAAGTTCTGAAGCAAAAATACCATTCCATACATCTAAATACTGAAAACATGTACAAACCGAAGTAAAAACAATATTTCATACATCTACATACTGCAGTAAGTACATTTATCATCACATCTAAGTGCTGAAGTACAAATACCATTCCATACATCTAAATACTGAAAACATGTACAAATCGAAGTAAAAACAATATTTCATACATCTACCTACTGCAGTAAGTACATTTATCATCACATCTAAGTGCTGAAGTACAAATACCATTCCATACATCTAAATACTGAAAACATGTACAAACCGAAGTACAAACAATAATCAACACATCTACACAACATTGAACATGTCTTCATACCCCAGAGACAATAAGACTTCCGGAGATGTTCTGTACATCAGCTTTGACCTTGCTGGTGATGTTTAACTGGTGACAGTACAAGGCAATCCGTTGAAGGTAAGCCAACAAATCCTTTTTGGTGTTAGACTCAGGACACTAGAACAAAGCAGAAAGTTAATGCACATTTATGGAATCAGAATACCAGAAAACTGTGTACTTCTTGAACTAGTTTCTATTAAGTAGCACGCAACACCTAATCCCCTATAATATATACCCTCTTAAACTGGTGTACTCTATTGTGTATCTCAACCAGGACTTGCTTTAATAGTACACTAGTCAACAAAAATGTTAGATATTTCTAATCTTGTTATATATACTTTTACTTATTATTTCATTTAACCACCTAGATGTATAATTCGAATAATAATATATTATCAATAACATGTGATCAAAGCAAGCAAGATACATGGATCTGAGTTAAGTAATACTAGCTAGGTCTATGGAGCAACTTGTTAATATACTAATCTAGCTAGGTGTATGGAATGTCGTAAGTAGCAACTTGTTAATATACCAATCTAGCTAATTGTATAGAATGTCATAAGTTGCAACTTGTTAATATACCAATCTAGCTGGTGTATCGAATGTCGTAAGTAGCAACTTGTTAATATACCAATCTAGCTGGTGTATGGAATGTCGTAAGTAGCAACTTAATACACCAATCTAGCTAGGTGTATGGAATGTCGTAAGTAGCAACTTGTTAATATACCAATCTAGCTGGGTGTATGGAATGTCGTAAGTAGCAACTTGTTAATATACCAATTTAGCTAGGTGTATGGAATGTCGTAAGTAGCAACTTGTTAATATACCAATCTAGCTAGGTGTATGGAATGTCATAAGTAGCAACTTGTTAATATACCAATCTAGCTGGGTGTATGGAATGTCGTAAGTAGCAACTTGTTAATATACCAATCTAGCTAGGTGTATGGAATGTCATAAGTAGCAACTTGTTAATATACCAATCTAGCTGGGTGTATGGATTGTCATATGTAGGAACTTATTAACCCTATCGCCACAGGTTTCCTTTACTGCACATGACACAAGGTTTTTGTGTCTTACATTCAAAATTTTATTATATTACTTTTTTTATGTTATACCAATTAGAATAGCATAAAATCTTAGCTAATAATTCATATTTTAATAGTACATAAGTGTTAAGTTCTTAATTCTACAAGGGAATAGTAAAAAAATTCTGAATTTCTACAAGTGTGACCCCCCGTGACACATTTTCTTTTAGCATGTCATCTTCCCTTTTTTATCCACC